GTCAACGGCCATGCTCACACCCTATATTGAAGCCGGAATCCGCTGAGAAGTGCAGCACAACTCACTTGCTGGATCAATCAGCCCCGAACCGGATGATGCTGAAATTTGCAGCCTATGCTCGGCCGACATAGTGACTCCGACACTGCAATGAGTAGGAGGGCGCTGGCCTGCTGCAATAGCTGCAGCGCATGCCTGGGTGGAGCGGACACTGGTGCAGATCTTGGTGCCATGGTGGTCTCAGCAAATATTCAAATGAATACTACGAAAACAGAAGTGTAGGGGGTTCCATGTGACCAGCTGGCTACAGCTGCGTGCCTCCCCACTGTGCCTTGGGCCGCTCCGCCCTGGCACAGTACACCATCTTTCCGGCCCCAACGGGCATGCTCACACTGCGCCCCAAATCCGCAAAATATGCAGATCTGGGACAGGCCAATCTGAAGTTTTGGGCATGGACAGGTCACACTACTGTACCTTTTCAGATGGGACAAGGCTCGGGTCGTCCGCGGTAGCAGCGACTTGGTATTTTGCTGGTCGCACGACACCACCCACAATCGGTGCAAGAGCTGTTGACCGCGAATTCCCCTTGTCCCGCGGCCACACAGGCTGCCTGTCAACAGGCCCACAAATGGTACATTTAGGACTTTGGCGAGTCTGTGTGACCCGTCCTGCGCCTCGCGGGCCCCGACGGGCATACTCCCCCTCAACCCTTTGCACAGCAGACCGGGGTTGGCGGACGCTGAACTGCCACACAGGTTTCTTCCGCCTCCTGGGCTAATCACCTTCCAACTCGCATGTATGATGGGCTCTTCGGCCCGTGCTTCAATGGTTCATGCGTGGGGTCACGGCCGGTCCTGAGACCGGTACCGGACCACGTCCCGTAGTGGGATAAGATACATAATGAAAAAAAAAAAAGAAAAAAAACAAGAATAATAACAATTCTAGAGAAGAATTTAGGAAAAAGCGGCTAGGGGGAGGGGAACCGCCGGAACCGAGCCTCGGTCCTGCCTGTTGGGCCCGCAATCAGACTCCCCAGCAAAACCTACAGGGATAGTCCTGCGGGACCCTCAACCCCTCAGGTTTTCGCCAAAGTACACTCCTTCGTTGCTCCGCTGCTCGCTTCGATCCCGGGGTCTGCTGCTTGAAAGTCTAGTGCTGTAACCAATAGGGCTAAGCCCAAGCCTAGTTGCAGCAGACGCAGCCGCTCATATGACGAGCAACTGCAGCAGTCCTGGGCCTGTAGAGGTGCACCAAGGCTGCTGCTCATGCTGTTGTCTGAACCCACGGCCCAGCATGCGCGCTTCTGCTGGCTTAGAGGCAGGCTGTACTCGGCCCGCCGTGCGCGAACTCCCGCAATGCCACGACCATCAGGCCCAGGCTGCCTCTTTCTCGGGAGACCGCCCTCCTTGGCTTTGGCAACGACTTTTACTATTAATGGGGGGCACGGTCAGCCCAGTGCTTGCGTAACTTCACACAGTGCGGCGCCACAAAGTCGTTATCAACAGTGCTAGTACCTAAGGTCGAGACAGACTATCGCAAACATCAATATAAGTTGTTGCCGTACGGCACGCGGGCCTACCAAAATACATCAAGGCTACTCCTCTGCCCATGCATCAGGCTCACGACTGCTGACCTATGACGCCCGCTGCCCATGGGGCCTGGCTCTGTCCACGACTGCCAACCTCCCGCATCTACCACGCGGAGGTCACCGCTTGCGCTCTACTTTCTCTCGCACGTCCCAATTACTATTCAAAGCAACGCCACTCCCGACAATGCATGCCATGTGAATGCAGATGCACCTTGGTCACTTCAATAAGGGAAAAACTCTCCTTGTTTTAATTAGAGCTAAAAATTTTGCTGGCGGAAACGCCGACTTTGTAACATTAAGAGTAAAAATCATCACGCGCGCCTCGAAACTGCGCGCCCACACACTCTCTACTTCCAGTCAACCATTCAGTCAACGCGAGCCAGACACAACCGCGACTCCGCGCGGTACACTCAAATTTTGAACAAACCTTATCTTCTGTCACCTGCAAAAACCAGTGCGGATACCCTTGTAAGGGTATTCGCGCCGACAACGCAACTGCCATATAAACGCAAATCCACATACGTAAAATTTGCGGAAGTACGTGCTAGTGTGAGGGCCTCGTTCCACAACTCGCCATCCGCCACAAACCGTGGCGAGACTTGGCGAGGCCCAAAAGTGCATTTTTCTGGAGAAAAACGGCTCTTGGTTCCATTACATCACCGCTGCCACGTGCGCTGTGGTTGCTGTCCCGGCCTGCTCCCCAGACTGTGGCAGATGGCGAGCTAATGGAATGGTGGCGCCTTCTCTTCACCATGTACTCGGACTTGAAATCAGGGCCTCGTTTCACTACTCGCCATCCACCACGCATGGCGGATGCGACTTCGTTCCACTGCATCGCCACTAGCCACGAAATGGACGCTGTCAGAATTTGGGTCGGAAATCACTTGGCGATAGGTCGCCAAGGTTTTTTTCTTCCTCTGCTTGCAACGACCCTTTGTGGAGGGCGTTACTCCTCACCCCTCCGCGAAATGCTTCATGTGGCCATTTCCCCTGACTAGCTGGGGTTATAATTTGCTGAATCAAATAACAACATCAACAACAACAACAATACATAAATGGCTAAGTGGTCATGTATGAACACAGAGCCCGAATACACTCATAATTTACCCAACTAGAGCAAAAAGAGTAACAAGTCATCATACAAACCCATAGGCCATACCATTATAGTATCAAAGTCACTCCTGTTGGTCTGGCGCCCTGTTTGTCTGCTTGCGTCCGATCTATCCAACTGTGCTTGACTGTCCGGTTGCTGGTGTCTGACCGTCTATTTGACTATCTCTCATTCTTTCCAATTTTTCCCTTCAGCAGCAGTCCTTCCTCCCGACTTCCTTCTGTTGCAGCCTCATTCAGAAATGGGCAACTATCATTATTAATAATAATAATAATAATATAATAATAATAATGATAATAATAAATATAATTGTAAGATGATATTATTCAGAATGCACAGTCACGTTGGAAGTCAGATCACATCACAGTGTCCAGAGAGCAGCACTGCACCAATATATCACCAATGGAGAAATCGTGACCCTGAAAAGGCTCAATCTGTAGACCTGTCATCTATAGGTCTTAGCAGGTCTCGAGAATCATATCTGATACAACCCTTAAGAGATCAAAGGTCGTAGCTGATACAATATCGAAGGCCGAGTTCACAGACCTTCGGAAGGTCCGGAAGTGTCCGTCATTCGTTGCCTATAGCAGAACAAAGACAGGCGGACATGCGTGTAGGCTGCCATGCTGAGTCTGCGGTACCCAGTCCCGATCTCATCAAAGTCCAATCCAACAAGAACAAGGTATTCGTGAAAACTGGACTTGAAAAATAGTCCAGTTTGCAAAAATGCAATTATTTTTTCTGGAAAAATAATTTTCCATTGGCCAATATAGTTGAAATAATCGGCTGTTTTTTTCTTCTTAAAATAATAATTATTTTAAAATTCGAAAAGACCATGCAGTAGAGACTTCCAAGAAAAATATTTTTCTCCAAGTCCACTTTGTTTTTAGCTTTGCACTTTTCGTCTCGTCTCATTGTATGTATCCGGTCTCTTAAATCAGACACTAGGATATTCTGGCACAACAGGTATAGCTCCCAACAATGGACAGGAGCGGCTAGATGAGAAGCTACTACAGGGAGGTGCTTATATTACTATGCCTAGTGTTGAACCTCCCTCATTTTGTCCCAGGGCTATCGGCAGATGGATGGACAGACAGACAAACAGACTGATTGACAAACAGACACTCACAAAAAGACAGATAGACAGATAGACAGAAGCCTCTCAACTTTAAAATGTAAAATACGTAGATCACCTGATCCCTTTCCATTTTCGAATTTAGAATTCACAGTCCCCTTTCAAACTTCAAAATATAAAACTCACTGATGTCGTTCCAACTTCTACATAGACAGTCCGTAGACCCTTTTTCGTTTTTTTTTTCCCCCCCCCTTAAACCACTAGTACTTGGCTCAGCTATTGATGTCGAGCCTAAAAATACCCTACGCGCCATTTTTTGTCGAGCGTGAAAAGAAGAGGCACGAGCACATGGAAAAAGGGGGAGGTACCGGTACCGCCCTGTATGAAACATGCGTGTTGGACCTCCTGCTAGCATGCGGGATACAAAAGGATATGTTTTCACTCCCGAAAAACGAAAAAAAATCAAGTTAAAAAAAAAAGTTGTTGCGCCCCCATTTTCCTTCCTCCACCTGGCAGGCACGTAACCCACAAGCTTGAATGGGACTCCCTGGTCTAATTTTGAAGTTGTGTCGGCCAGATGCATCCAACCCTGAACTGCACCATATACATCGCTCTGTTATGGCACTGTTGGCCTTGCACTTTTCAGTCCCTCTGCCTTCTAGCACAGGGATTCGTAATAGCCCTCTCCGGCCTTCACGGTGCACCACCTGTCACAGGGTGCTCAAATGAGGCAACCAGGCAAACCGACTGGGAGGTGACAGGCAGGAAGGTAGGCGGGAGGGTCGGCGGGCAGGCAGTCAAGCAGGCGGACGGGTCGGTGAGCAGGCCGACAGGCAGGCGGGGGGCCCGACGGGCAGGCGGGCAGGCGGGCAGGCAGGTGACAGGCAGGCAGGCAGGTGGGAAGGCAGGCAGGCAGGCATGTAGATTGAATGACAGTTGGTTTGAAAATTGGGCCGATAAAATTATCGGTCCGGTTAAACCACCGGTCCCCCCACATTGAAAAATCGGAGGGACCAGTAGGGACCAGTAGCACCTACTGCTATGGGYTACCGATAGGACTGGGTAGAGAACTGGCTCGATCAATCAATCAGTCAATCAATCAAACAATYAATCAGTCGATCGGTCAATCAATYAGCCAATCAATCAATCAGTCAAAAYTRGACCTGGTTTTGCATATCACCCCCCCCGCCTTCTTCCCTCGCCACAACTGTCGCCCCTCCGGGGGGCACCTTTCGCCCTCGCCGCAGCTGCAGCCCCAACCCCGCCACCTTCCACCCTCACCGCGGGTGCCTCCGCCCCCATCTTTCGCCTTCCACCTCCGCCCGATGCCGCCTTCCGCCTCCGCTCGACGCCGCCTTCCGCCTTCGCTCGACGCCTCATTCCGCCTCCGCTCGACGTGGCCTTCCGCCTCGCGGCAGATGCCACCCCTCCATCTTCCACCTCATCACCGTCTGCACCTTCCCTTTTCCTGTTGATTGGTTGGTTGATTGATTGATTGATTGATTGATTGATTGATTGATTGATTGATTGATTGATTGATTGATTGATTGATTAATCAATTGCTTGATTGATTAATTGACGAAATGTCTAAAACAGTCAATTGATTAAATGGCCATGGCTGACAATGTGCATGTCCGCAGTTGATTACGAAATCAGATAGATAAAATTATCGGTCTAGTTTTGTACATTTGGCAAAACGAGACCGATAATGTGCATGTCCATAGTTCGTTACAAAATCGGATAGATAAAATTATCTATCCGGTTTTGTACGTTTGGCAAAACCGGGCCGAGAATGTGCATGTCCACAGTTGGTTACAAAATGGGATAGATAAAATTATCTATCCGGTTTTGTACGTTTGGCAAAACCAGGCCAATACAATTATCGGTCTGGTTTTGCACAATTGGCAAAACTGATCCGGTTTTGTATGTTTGGCAAAAGTGGACCGATAAAAATTATCGGTCCGGTTTCGCATGTTGGACAAAACCGAACCCGTACTCCACTCTGCGGCATGTTCCCCCCCCTTTCCACCATCACGACGACTGCTTTTCCTCCTCCCACCCCCCACCGTCTTCAACCCTCGCCACGGATGCCTCTCCCCATCTCCCGCCTTGGCCCCACCTTCCGCCTAACTCAGCGCGGCCTTCTGCCCTCACCGCAGTTGCCGCCCCACCCCCTGCCGCCTCCTGCCATCGCCATGGCTGCCTCCCCCCATCGTCTGCCTCCGCCCGACGGGGCCTTCCCCCCTCGCC